TCAGAGAGATTAACATTTTGGGCTGAAATCATTCAACGGAGAGAGAGAGGTTCATGGGAAATGCAGAAAATGAAAAGAAACAAATGCTTGACTTTCAAAAACAAAAACAGAAAATCATGAAATTGACCACCAATTCATTCAGCATTTGGAGGGAAAGATCGATCATGGGTTCAGACAATTGCGGCTCAATTTCATAATCTTCCGTTTCCATTTTCAAACTGAAGCACGTGTTCTTTTTAATCTCTAGTAATCTAACCTACTTCAGCAGGTCATACCTAATTCGTCAATTTTATCTGTACAAACAAAATATTGAAAAACAGCAGCAAAAGCAAGGGCAGCCTTAAATTTAATACATAAAAATGAAACAGAATTAGACCTGGAAGTAATGGTCAAAATTTGGCAATGTTAATAATTTAAAAAGTGCAAGTGAAACCGACACTGACACCACAAGTATAGTGATCAATTTCAGTTGTAACGCTTAATGTTAAACACGCCTTCCTGCAAACTACATCAAGATCATGCTATTTCCTTCCCCTCTCCTGTACAAATAAATGATTAAAAAGGGATTATCTGCAACTTGCCAAGATAAAACTTCCCTACTGTTGTGAATCTTCTCTGCTGCTCTAAAAGCAAACATTTCATTGTTCAATGAACATGACTAACTCTTTGGCAGCAAGAATTGAAATGTGTTTAAATATATGCCACCTTTATTGTTAAGAGTACCTTTACTTTTTTTTCCCGTATGCAGGTTTAGTCATGAAGAGTGGTGAAAGATTAACCAATAGTAAAGTGAAGCTAGTGCTGAAGGCTTGCAAAAATGTAACACACCAGTTAATCATTAGACTTGTTGCCCATAGTTAGTTCAAGGATCATAGCCAATCTTAGCTTCAGTTAGCAGATTGGCACATGTGTTTTCTTCAGCTGAATCTTACAAAAAATTACCTTACAGATTTGTATAACAATAGCATTAGTTATGAAAAGAATCTTTAAAATGAAAAGACAATGGATGCGACATGGTCAACTGGATGGGGGTCTCACTCATTATCAGAGAAGCAGCAGGAGTTCAGTTCTGTGAAAGAGGTCTGATGGAATCAAGTGCCCTTAACATTCTCAGGCCTTCTGCACTTTTCCTCCACACTTTCAGATACCTATCAGTGGAAATTCGATTTCTGAGATGGCAATCAATATGTGGCAGTTCATCACGGCAATCTCACCAGGGAGACCAATGATAGCTTGCAATACTGCACCCACTAGAGGCCTAAGATCATCATGGAGCCACAGGCAAAAAAGAGGCAGCTGGAGACAACAGCAAGAGGGTGATTTTCAGCCGCCACCACTGTGGTTAATGCCAGGTTCCTTGGTTGGGGATAATGGAAAACCCCATGACCAACTCCCCTCACCCCTTGGAGAATACCTGTTCTTTGAATTACAACAAAATTGTGGGCTCAGGGATAATGGATGACAAGTGAATCATTAATCAGTTGAATTTATACTGTGCCACAATTGTGTGTTAGCCCCTTGTGCCCTGCCTAATCAAGGGAGGTTTGGCTGCTGCAGGGAGATTGACACAAAGTCACTCAAACATCATGATGGGCTACAATAAATCCTACCCAATTTGTAGCTACAGAGCTCTCAACATTATAGGGTTTCAGTACAGGAGAATGATGTTTTCAAGCTAAAATAAAATGAATAATAGAGGGCTCTCCATTAAAACTTCACACAAGGTTTACTGCAGTAAGTGACAAGTCCAAATGGAAATAGAATTTTTAAGACCGTTTGGCTGTGAGCAATTTGGTGTTCAGAGTACTGTGCAGTACTAAATTCAGAAATTTAAGAAGTTGATAAACTTGAATGCTGCAAACTCCAAACTCCATATTGCCTTTTACAATAAATGATAGATTATAAAAGGAAATGTTTAATTACAACAAACTGAACAAACAATTACATGAGCCTCACTTGTAATAATACGATTAAATAGAATGTTGCACTGATATTTATGATAATACAATTTATGACAGTCCTGTCAGTTTTGCTGAAAGTTTTAGTTTCCTCAGTTTGAGAAGATGAGAAAGACTCAGTACCAAAGCATTTTATATCAATCACAATAGCCAGGGGCGGGGGCATGATTTGACTCAGAAGTTATGAGTTGGACATAGTTTGATGTTGATACAGTATTATCCCTTCAGCAGAATACTGTTAAAATCCACATTTGAATGTCAAACACAGGCTAACTAGATGTATTTGTATTTGTTCTATGATAAACAATTTAATTACATGAAGCATAAACTTGGAGCTGGCGTGGAGGATGTTGAGATGACAAATTTCAGCCACTGGCAGATAAGGAAATCTTAATTCTTAGAACCTGGCACAAATAGAAAAGCCACTAAGTCACCCATCCTCCCGCTCTGGACATTACCCCTTCCTGAGTATATTCTACAGAAACAAAGTTAAGTGTAATGCTCCATTTTATGGGTCACTACATTTCACTATTACGTTAATTTATAATACAAAATACTTATTTACGACAAATTGGCCTCCACATTGTGTTTGGCTCATGATTCTGAAGGATAGATCTTCTTCCCTGATGTCAATTGTTGTAACTACGAACAAATCTTTCTTTCACTCACTTTTGATTTACTGTAATTTTGTTTTTAAATTATCCATAGTTGTTAAGCAAACAACTTCAAAGTGGAGACAGTTCAACATTACTCATCATGTGAAGGGGAACTTGAGGTGTGAGAATGGTTGTGCCGTACTACACCTGTTCTGCTATCCTCCAGTATAGCTAATGTGACCATCTTTCACATAGCTCAGAGCTGAAGGCAGACTAATTTTGTTCTCAGAGATAGCATTTTGTTTCTTTTCTCTTTAGTTTTAGCTCACATCATTCAGAACTCCCATTTGTTGTCTGCTACCTTTGATTTGGTCACAGGTCAGGATTTCTAGAACGTCACTGTGTGCATCCAACACTACAATGGAAGTACTGTTCCTTAACAGATGCTATATAAAAATCACAGGATGGATGTGAGCACAGATATCAATGCATGAAAAAGAATAAAATTTAGCCCTCTCTGGCTTCAGGCTGAAAATCTTTGAGTCAGATTAGTTAAGAGGCCTCTGCTTGCAGTAGACTCCCATCCAAGCTACTAAATGGGTAGGTGTAATTAACATTCAAGCTCCAGCTTTAACTCCAATCTGCTGATTGGCTAAAGCCCATTACTTGCAGAAAATCCCAATAATTCCATGAGCCACTTACAAGTAAACCCATGCTAACTGATCCTTGAGCTACAGGTTACATCTTGGGTCTTAACTAGTGCAGAAACCATTTTCAGCATCATACTTGTGCTGAAAAAAAACCTGGTCAAAATGGTCATTCTTCATTTCCACTGAACCCAGTCAATCAAAATGGCTGAACCGGTGAATGTTAACAGAACACAATTGCCTTCATGATATTACTGAAGCCTCATATATATTACTGAATATTAAAATCATACATCTTAAAGGATCCATCACAATGCTTGGATTAGTTCAATGATATTAAGCCAGTCCCATTTAAAGCAATGATTGTGTAACACTGGCAAATTCCCATCATATAAAAAATATGCTTCGATGTAGCACCCAAGTAACGCGTGTGGTGATTTTTAAAAAATTCTAGGTTTTACTTTGTTCCATCAGTAATATCAATTTCATATTTTACCTTACACGTTTCTTATCCAACTCAATTTTCCTAAACTTCCAGAGAATAGGTTGTGCATTATATTGGCGTATATTCATTCAGTCCATGGCACACCTGCTTCCAAGTTATCTTTAGATATTAATCTAGTGGAATTCCAAATAAATCATGAGATTTGAATCTTAATTTCAGTTGTGTGTCTGTTCATGGCTCCATAGACTGAACGCAGTTTTGAAAGTCCTACGGCAAAATTTGCACATGAATGGCCTTTCGAAGGTAGCTGCTGCAAGAGGAGGGGCATGGGTAAAAAGTGTATCTGCTGCCTGTGGGCTACCTGTCTTGTCTGAATGATTTGAGGGTTGTTCAGGTTCAGGAGACCGTTCCTGGGGTGGCACGGGGAGTGGTGGTGGAGGGGGAGGTGGTGGACAAGAAGGGCTCCTCACAGGTTTAGAAAATTCAAGGCGGTCTGCGGATTGAGAGATATGGGACTGAAAGTGGCTCCAGAGGCGGAAGTTGGTACGGAAGGCTTTATGGCAAACGTGGCAAATAAATGGCTTAACAGCACACAGCAATTCCTGATGACGCTCCAGTTGCTTGTGTATTGTGAAGATCTTGCCACATTTTTCACATGGCCAAAGACCACGCTCTCCTTTGCATGTCAGGTCCTCTGGTTCCCCACTACAACTCTTGGATTCTGATGTCACATCTTCCAGATGAATGGGATTTGTGGAAACTACATCAGGTAGATGGTTGTTGTTACTGCTTATATTTCTCCGATTAGAGATACTCAAATCTTCAGGAAAGCAAGAAGAATCTTCAGAGTCAACATACATTGGCTCTGAAGAGTCACTGCAGGCATCATACTCTTTTGATGTACTAGGACTGACAACAGCATCCTCTCCTGCTTCAGTTTGAACTTCTTTAGGCAAGACACCATTATGACAGATTGAATCCAAATTAGATTTTTCCACTGGGGCCATTGTGTTTTCATTGTGAACTTCAATCTGATGACGCCATATGCTGAATGATGATTTGAATGTACGTTTACATTCTAGACAGGTTAACTTCTTATATTCACACTGATTTTCATGCTCCTGTTTCAGTTCTCTAGAACAGAACCTAAGGCTGCAGTAGCAGCACACAGTAACATTCCTACAGATTCTCTCATGCTTTGTCTTCTCTGCCAAGGACGACATTTTGGTATTACAATGCTCACACTGATGCTCAATATTATCTTCACTTACACTTTCAGTAACAGCTTGTTCTTTTGATTTGAAAGCCCTGTTATATAGCTTGCAAACAAAGGGCTTCTCACCTGGGTGGGTCTTCATGTGTTGCCTATAACGTGATAGAAAACGAAACAACTTTCCACATGTAGTACAAATGTATACTCCCTTACTTGCAGATTTCAAATTTTTTTTGAATGCTTGTTCTGACCGCAGGCCTGGGTAACTATGAGACCCCTGCCTACGCCGCAACTTGTGAAATAGAGCCTTCTTGATCTCTCTTTCGCGCATCATATCATTCAGTTTCTTTTGAAATTTTTCTTCTGGAACTAGACTGGAGCTGGTAGCTGCTGATGGGTTGATAACCACTCCATGTTGAGTTTGGCAGTGTGTCCAAACTTTGAAATTGGTGAGAAATCTCTTGTGGCAGATATCACACGCATATGGCTTATCTGGGTTATGGTACATATCCACATGCCGGAAAAGACCTGCTGTGGATCGGAAAATCTTGAAACAGGTCATGCATTTGAACTGCTTGCCAGTTATTGCTGATTCAGACTCTGAATATTCATCCTTGTTCTCATCAGTCTTTGACAGATCAAGATTAGTATCATCTGCTGTCGGGCTTGAATTTTCCTCAAAGCTCTGTGCTATATTGGGAGAATGCTGCAAAGTTTCTGATTTTTCATAAGAAAGTTTTGCATTTTCAGCCAAGAACCTCCTCTTCATTGGGAGCATTGATGTTCTTCTGTTCCTCTCCACATTTTTCACAGCAAATTCCTTACTGGTACATGGTGAGGTTTCTCCTACTGTAACCGTAATTATATCAGAAGTATCCGAGGCAGGGCTGCAGGGCTCTGTTTTCACTTTAACAGCTGAAGTCAGAGAGATGGCATCGGCTTCAGCAGCCTGAGATACATTAAGTTGTTTTGGTCGACAAGACTGATCAACCTTTGGCTTTTCCTTTAGAAGCTGCTGTTTAATTGAGTCTGTAATCGATGGCTTTTGGGATGATGCATCACAAGTCAACTCCAATGGTTCCCGTTTACAGATCTGTGATCCGTAGGTCATTTTCAGATCAAGAGACGAAGAGTAGGAAGGGACTTGGCTATCCATTGACAATGACCTACGTAGGAGACTCTTCACCAATGGGCCACTGCTGACAACACTCTGGCTGCTAGGTGGCAATCTTCCAGGTTGAACCGTAGACCCTACTTTGGTGTAATACAGCAAATTACTCTCTTCGGTTTTGCCAGCATTTACTGTGTTCCCAGGTTTTTGTTGGGAATATGCAAGTCCTGTAGTTCCATGAAATGAAAATGCAGGCGAAAGTTGTGGCCTAGGTAAAGGCTTTCCATTTATCAAGAGGTCAGTAAGACTTTGCCTCCTCTCGGAAACATTACTAGTAAAACCTGAAGTGCCATCTGCACTCATGGAATTTCTCCTTTCAGACCAAAACCTCAACCTATTTTGATCATCGAGAGATTTGAAGGTTGAATGGAATTTAGTGTTACCTAAAGCTCCACGAATATCTTTTAACAAAGGTTGTCCTTTATCGTCCAAAAGGTGAGTTGTATCAGCATCCCTGGTCAGAGAATTAGAATTTGCTCGTAAAGCATTCAAAGATGAAGACTTAAAACTGTGACTTGGATCTTCCTCCGATGGTCCCTTTTTCTGACTTGAATCCCCTCCCTTTGCTTCAGACTCAGCGTTACTTTTATCAAGGTCACTGCGACTCTGACACACAATCACACTCCGTGGCTGGGCACTACTTAGATCTTCACCAACTTTGCTGTGCTTCTTGACAGAATTTGGGGCACAGGAAATCTGAGGTGTCTGTGATGGAATGCTGGTCAGGAAAGAGATACCAAGATTGCCACCAAGAGAGTGAATGGCTGAAAGGCTTTTCTTCTCTATGAAGAGGGATGAGGAATAGATGTAATTTAGAATATTCTCAAAGATAGCTGCTTCACAGAGATCTAACTGGAAGACCGACTGGCTTTCGTTCTCCTTCTTGGTAAACAAAGAACGGAAATAGTCACTGCTAGCAGCCAAAACATTCTTGTGAGCCCGGAATTTATGGTCACCAACAATTAGGACAACGTCACAAAGTTGGCCCTTTAGGCGATCCTCGTTAAGTGCACTCAGGAGAGAGATGGCATGCGCTGGATTGATGTAGTGAAGTAATCCTTCCATTGTCTGCTCTACCTGTAAGACAGCAGAATGGTGAAGGTCAAACATGGAGAAATCAATATTAAATATAAAGAGGACAAAAGCATCAGGATGTTTTAAAAGCCTCAAAATGGAGGTTTACATACAACAGACATTTACAGATCTGCATTCTAAAAGCACAGGGGAGGTTTCTTAGCCCTTTGTACCAGATACTACAGCAAAGCCTTTAGCTGCCAAAGTTTAAATGTTAAGAGATTGACTCAATAAATCCAAGAAAAAGAAAAATTTGGAAAGAGTTCAAGTACATTGTAGCCTTTTGGCCCACAAAATGTTCAAAATCGGAAATGTAAGCAAATCCCCCTGCCCCAACATTGACACAAATTTGTCAGTAATAACTGAGAATTAATACGTCAAGACATCCCAAGACATTTTATCAATTTGTGCACCTTCAACAATGAACAACAACTAGTTTGGAGAAATTACAATACTGCAATCTAAGCTAGGGGTTTGAAGGCATCATAAATCACATTCCAAGAGCCAGCAACTATTGTGACCAAAAAGATCAACTGTATGTTGAAGGTAAAATTTTATGCCTAATATTGCTCATTATGATGGATATGGGACAGAATTCACAGCATTTCACCCTTTTGGTAAATCAAGAATCCATCGACCTCTGCCTTAAACACCACCCACCACGTACATGGCAGATACTCATGGGAGTCGGCCAATGTTGTCTACCTCATACGCTGCAGGCAAGGATGCCCTGAGGCATGGTATATTGGCAAGACCATGCAGATGCTATGGCAACAGATGAATGGACACAACACAATCATCGTCAGACAGGAATGCTCCCTCCCATCGGAGGGCACTTCAGCGGTCAAGGACATTCAGCCTCCGATTTTCAGGTGAGTGTCCTCCAAGGCAGCCTTTGAGATATGCGACAACGCAAAATCGCAGAGCAGAATCTGAAAGCCAAGTTCCATACCCATGAAGGCGGCTTCAACCGTGATCTTGGATTCATGTCACACTACGTAAGACCCCACTATACTGTTCTGTATTTGTAAAATCTTCCTTACTGTGTTGTTTTGACACGGTCACTTTGATAAGTTATGATCTCTCTACCTTAATTAGTCTGTGCAATTTTGCATTACTTGTTACTTTGGTTAGACCCTCGGTGTGGGACTCTTATCCCTATCATGTTATTCTAGTCATTTGTCTCCAGCACCACCTTATTTTTAATTTTTTGCAATTATCTCTCTGCCTCAATTAATCAGACCATAAGTCATCCCGTCGCTTGCTATTCAGCCGTTGACACTTTACTCACACTGTCCGACACCTTTGATCACCTGCAAAGACTTGTCATTAAGCATGCCAACACTCCTCTCACTATTTGTATGATCTTTTGCCTATGAATTCTGTGCCTGTGTGCTTCTCTTCACTTCACATGATGAAGGAACAGCACTCCGAAAGCTTATGATTTCAAACAAACCTCCCTGTTGGATTATAACCTGGTGTTGTGACTTCAGACCGGGTCCACCCTAGTCCAATACTGACTCCTACACATCATTAAAATTATTTAAAGATTGTGCACCCACTGCCTTTGGAGGAAGGGAATTCCAGGCACTCAATCTGCAATAAAACTTTTCCTCATCTCCATACTAAATGAGCGACTTCTTATTTTTAAACAATGACCTTAGTTCTAGATTCTCCCACAAGAGATATCCACCCTGTCAAGTCCCCTCAGGCTCTTAGATGTTTAACTACATTGTCTTCGAGTCTTCTAAACTCCAGAGGATAGAGGCCTTCCCTCATAAGGCAATTTGTTCATTCAGGTATTAATCTAGTAAACCTTCTCTGAATTGCTTCTAGTGCGTTAACATGCTTCTGTAGATATGGTGAAAGCACTCCAGGTGTGGCCTCACCAATGCACAACAAGTATAACCTCCCTACTCTTGCATTCAATTACCCCTCAATAAAAATAACTAACCAGCTTTCTATTAACTTTCCCAATTACTTACTGCCTTGCCTAGTAACCTTCTGTGATTCATGCACCAGGACACCCAGAACTCTCTGCACCTTACAGCTCTGCAACCTCACATTATTTAAATAGAATTAGAAAAGAATGTTTTCTGCTGAAATGCACAAGTTCATTGTACTCCATTTGCCAGATCATTGCTCACTCACTTAACCTTTCTATTTACCTTTGTAGGTTCCTTACGTTCTCGTCACTTTCCTACCTAATTCTGTTATTTAAGAAATATAGCTACCTTACCATACCAAACCCTACAATTTATATAAATAATTTGAATGAAAAGTGTTGAGCCCCAGCAACCTATCCCAATGGCACATCATTTGTGACAACCCGAGAAATATCCACTCACTGATCCTCTCTGCTTCCTATTAGCCAACCAATGTTCTATCCATGCCAACGTGTTGCCTCCTACATTATGGGCTTTTATTTTCCACAACAACTTCTGATGTGGTACCTTGTCAATGCCTTCTGGAAATCAAAGCAAAATGTACCTACAGGTTCAACATTGTCTACAGCTTAAGTTACTACTTCAAACAACTCCATTAAATTAGTTAAACATGACTTCCCTTTGACAAAACCATGTTGTTGATGCCTGATTGCCTTGAACATATCCATGCGCCCTGTGGAGTAATAACTTTTAATAACTTCTAAAATTCTCTCAGTGACAGATGTTAAGCTAACTGGCCTGTAGACACCTGCTTCCTATCTCCCTCCCTTTTTGAATAAAGGAGTTACACAGTTATTTTCTAATCGAATGTATTAGATTCCCTGAATTTAATGAGTTTTAAAACACATCAAAATAGGTAGCTAGTGAGATAGTTAACATGAAAGCCATCAGTTTCTGAAGACTTGTCAACTTGCAGTTCCAGCAATTTACGTGGTACAACGCTCTTAGTAATTACAGTTTTTGAGTTACTCTTTCTCTTTCAATTCTTGATTTTCAGCTACTTTCAGAATGCCACTTTCATCCTCTCTAGTGGCGAGGATGAAACGCAAAATATCAATTCATCTGCCTTCTCTTTATCACTCATTACTAATTCCCCAGACTTATTTTCTACAGCTTCAACATTTGCTTAACTCCAAATAAAAACCGAGAGAACTGTGGATGCTGTTAGTAAGGAACAAAAGCAGACGTTGCTGGAAAAGCTCAACAAGTCTGGCAGCATTTGTGAAGATAAAAAAATCAGAGTTAACATTTTGGGTCTAGTGACCCTTCCTGAGAACAGTTAACTCCTGTTTTTCTGTCACTTCTTTAATTTTTTTTTTAAAATACCTGAAGAAACTTTTATCTGTTTTTATATTCTCTGACTAAAATTCTCTCTTTCAATTTTTCCCTCCTTATTAATTTTTAAGTTTTTAAAAATGTTCTGTCCAATCTTCTGACTTGCCACTAATTTTTGCACAATTATGTATTTTCTTGGAGTTCAATACTTTTTGACTTATTTCTACTTCACCACAGATAGCACGCTCATCCCTTTAGATTTTTCTAATTTGCTGGAACGTGCAGAATAGATACATTCTAGAATGTCATCTAAATTTTTGGCATTCCATCTCTAATCACCTATCCTTTGGGCTAAAGAACTTCACTTTTGCTAGCTCTGCTTTCATGCCCTCGTAACTGCCCTTGTGTGAATTCAAGATAGTGGTCATGGACCCACACTTCACTCCTTTAAACTGTATGTAAAATTCAATCATATTATGATTGCAGCTACTTAGGTGCGTAATTAATCCTATCTTGTTGGTCAAAACCAGGTCTACTATAGCCTGCTCTCTCGTTTGTGCCATAATACGATGATTGAAGAAATTGTCCCAAAAACATTTAATGAATTTCTCATCTAAACATTTTTCTCTGATGTTTCCAGACTCTGAAGGTTTAAATCCCCCATTATAATTGCTGTATTCTCTTGACAAGCTCCAACTTTTTTTCTTTGATACATATTCCTATTATGTGTCTGCTGTTAGGGGGCCCGTACACAGCTTCCACAAGTGACTTTTTCCTCATTCATTCATGGGATGTGGGCTTTACTGGCTGGACCGGTATTTATTGGCCAAGCTTAACTGCCCAGAGGGTAGGAATTAACCACATTGCTATGGGTCTGGAATCACATGTAAACCTGACCAGGTTAGGACGGCAGTTTCCTTTCCTAAAGGGCATCAGTGAACAAAATGTTTTTTTTTGACAATCAGCAATGGTTTCATGGTCATCATTAGACTATTAATTCCAGGTTCTTTTAATTCAATTCAAATTCTACCATCTGCTGTGGCAGGATTTGATCTTGGATCCTCAGAATATAGTGTCTACTTCTACTTGCCAGGTAAAACACTTGAATTGCAGTCCTTTTATCATTCTTGAAGCAATAGCGCTTTTTTTTTTTTTAAAATCTGTTCTTTTTAAAACATCCAAGTCCTGGGATTTGGGTGATCAGCCTAAACCACTTGGGTCGTGGTCATTTGGTTGCAGGGTAATTTAAACCTTAAAATAAATCATGACCATGTAAATTTTCCATTAATAAGTTTCACCAACAATTGGTATTTTTGATAAACAGCCAAGCAAAATTTTCTGGCAGATTTTAAAACTAATTCTCTCATTAACAATACTACGTATCAACAATGTAGAGTGTAGCAACACAGAGCATGGGCTGTTGCTGCATTCAAACTGCGTATACACCTCAGCCTAATAACATTACAAAATATATCTATAAATTTGATATAGTGCCTTTATTAGCGCTTCACGGGAACACTATACAGCAAAGTACACCAAGCCCCAAAAGAGACATTTGGTCAGATGACCAAAGCTCAGTCAAAGAGGTACATCTTTAGCATCTTCAAGAAAGAAAGTGAGCTAGAAGGTAAAGAGGTGTAGAGAGGACAGTTCAGAGTTTGGAAATTGAAAGCACAGTTAATGGTGGTGGAGCAATTACACTTGCAATTTATAAAAGGCAAGAATTAGAGAAGCAGAAATATTTTGGGAGGGATGTGGAGCTGACAGAGATTACAGAGTTAG